TTCCCTCTCCCTCTTGTCCTCTCCCCACACCTCCCCTGGTGCTTAACTGGAAACAAAAGTGAGTTTGTTGTGCTCTGCTGGTGGGGAAGAGGACGTGTGAAGGCAGCAGCCAGGGTGGCAGCAGCAGAAACAGGCTGGGGCCAGAGGCAGTGTCCACAGCCGGAGACCCCAGTGCTCAGCTACTCCAGGGAGCAGGTAATGCCCCAGACAGGGCTGGTTCAGGCATTGCCCTCTCTGTCGGGTCTCATCATTTCATGACTGTTCCATGTATTTGCCTTCTTATTTGGCCTTGAAGGCGGAAAGGGATTGCAGATTTAGGGAATGGTAGGCACAAAAGGTCCAAGGAGTGATGTGCTCTCTTCAGAGAACTGTGTGTGGTGATGTGGCTGGGGTCCAGGGCATGTGGGGTCAAGAGTGGCTGGGGTCCACAGTGTCTGGGCTTAAGGATGGCTGGTGTCCAGGGTGGCTGTTGTCCAGGGTAACTTCGGTCCAGAGTATCCGGGGTCCAGGGTGGCTGGAGTCTGGGGTGTCTGGAGGAGGAACATGACAGAACCTACCAGGGCAGGTTAGGGCCAGACCATGAGGGATGTTTTGAGCCATGTCATAGACCCTAGGCTTTAGGTAACAGGGAGCTATTGAATGTTTTTCACCTGGAGAGTAACGTGACCAAATCTACATTTTAAAAGAGTAGTTCTTGAACTCTGATCTCATGGAGAATTGGTGTGCCCTCTCAGAATCAAGCAGTCATAGTCTTCTCCCAATTTAAGGAAAAAATAAGGTTATTTGTTCAATTGTTAAATTTTCTTCTATAAAATTTCCTTAAACCTTTGACGTCTGCTAGCAAGTGTCAATAATCAATAAAAAGGACTAAGTTCAAAGTAGTAGAAAAATTTGGAAATAAAAATCCATTTAAATAAATGCAGTCCATTGAGCTATATACAGATAAATTGGTAGTATTTTCTGCTAGTAAAATTATTTCTAACTCATATGCACAATATTTTATGGTGCTGCTCAAAGAGCACCATGACTCCCAGGAGTTTGCCATGTGAACATGTTTGAAATGTCTTAAGGCAAACTCTGGTGCTACATAGGGAATGGGATGGATGGGGCAAGCAGAGGCAGTGGGAGCAGTAGGTGGCTCTTGTGATGACAGGAATAGGAGATAATGAGAACCTGAACAAAGGTGGTGGCAATGGTGGGAAAAAGGGAGACAGCTAAAAAATAGTCAGGAAGTGAGTGGAAGCCATTAGTGTCTGACTGGACATGGATGATGAGAGAGAAGGAGGCTTCAGGAGTGAGCCCAAGATTTCTCCTCTGGATGGCTGGGTAGCCAGGAGCACTATTAATCAAAACAGAGGAGGGCAAGGTTGGAGTGTTGGAAGACAGGAGGCAGGGCTGCTTTGAATATGTTGAGATTGACTCGAGAAGGGTGGAGAACTCCCAGATGGAGCAGTCCAGCTGGCAGTTGGAAATGCTCAGTAAATCAGGACCTAGAGACACAGGTGACCTCGGCTATAGGGTGACACCAAAAAGAACATGAGGTGGTCCAGTAGAAAGAGAGGAGACAATAAGGCCAAGGAGGAATCCTGGGGAAGATCAAGATTTAAGTGAGACATGCAAGAAGGGCCAGGGAAAGACACTGAGAAGGAGTCCTCAAAGAGATAGGAAAAAATATCAAGAAAGTGCTATCTTATAAGAACGAAGAGCATTTCAGTTCAGAGGGAGCAGTCAGCACCACTCATGTCCCAGAGACATAAGCCAGACCATAGCTTCACAGTGTTGTAGGTTTGATTGATTTTATTGACTTATTGATTTGAGAATAAAACAAGAGAGATCTGAGAGCAGGGTTGTAAACTTGGGTGCTTAGCATAAATGAGATTAGCAGGGTAATAATAGGGAGTAGTGGGGACTGTGGAAAACTAAAATGCATATTCTCATCCATCACTCAGCTCTAATTGATTGTTGTCAGGTAGGAATATGGGCACTGTCATCAGAGTATCTGAATTTTCAAGAAAAGTCAGAAATCTAGATTTTTATATGCAATCTCATAATTCTTTATATTAGCAACAATTTCAAAAACTTTTATACTCTATGAGGGCTGAATTAAACACATCTTTGAGCTGCCAGTTTAAAATCTCTGCCTTAGTCAATGTCCTTAGTGTGGTGGGGATGAATCAGTTGCAGCAGGTTGGGAAATGATTAGGTAAGGAGGAAGTAACGACAGTGAGTGTAGACCTCCCCTTCAATAAGTTGAGGAGAGAGAAGGGAAAAAGAGACCAGCAGAGCTTAGAAGGCAGGCAGGATCAGAGGAAGGTGTTTCATGGTAGGAAGAGCTGTTTGTAGGTTGAGAGAAAGAGGGTGGAGGGAAAGAAGTTGAAGACCCAGGTAAGGAAAGACTGGGTGATGAAATAAGGATCCAGTAGAAGGGAATAGATGTGGTCAGAGATAGGCTAGAGGAAGAACTCTTGTTCAGAGGTAGACTGCAGCAGTGGTAAGGACACAGAAGCACTGGAAAGGAGGAAGTTGATGGATTTCATGCCTGGAGGTCTTATTTTCTTGGTGATGTGGGGTAAGAGATAGATCAAGAGGCTTGCAGAGAGGAGCAAAAGTTAGTGGTGGCATCGAGGAACATGGGAAAGGGCATGCAAGGATGAGTGGAAGTGGCTGTACTTCTGAGACCTGTTAACAGTGGAAGCCCCCCATTTGTACAGCGGGGTGGTTTTCTCCAGAGGGATTCATGAGCCTGAGTGCTAAGCTTGGTGACAAGGGGGATTGGCACCTGTTATATTCCAGGCCCTGTGTCACGTGTGTTATTCTCCTTACCTGATTTATTGGGACAATAACCCTGTTCACTCAGACTGAATTCACTCATGAGTAAGTAGCAACTCTGAGATTCATACCCACGTCTAGCTGGATTGAAAGCCTAGCGTGTGCCTTGCATCCACCGTACCACCTTACCACACTGCCTCTCCCTGCACCCCAGGACACATTTGAAGAGGTGGAGATTGGGCCAGTGAATTCTTGTCTGGGTATCAGCTGCCTGGTTTTATTGGGAAGTCAAGGAGTAAGAGACTGGAGACTGTGATGAGAAGGGTAGTTGAAATTATTGACCATTGGGAGTCCATGGAGAAATAAGTGAAAGCCAAAGGGATGATAAACTGAGGGGATAGAGACGATTGGAGAAAGAGGAAGACTTGATGAAGCCTAAAGACAGTCAGTGAGAGATTGAACCAGGGCAGGGGCAATGGGATTGGTGAGGAAGGAGAGTATTCTCGAAAACTTTTAATGTGGGAGTGGAGGTGAGAGAAAGAGGTGAGGTGAGAATGATGCCAGCGTGTCTAGCCTGTGCGGTTGGGTGGACAGTTATGCCTCTAACCAAGGCATTCAATGTTGGGTGATACCTCTCTCTCTCCGGCCCACCATGCCCTAGACACACTAACCAGCACACCCCACCTCAAGTCTTTGGCACGCCTGCAGCACTCTTCTTCCAGATATGCAGAAGTGGTTCATTCTCATTTTTCAAGTTCCAATTCAAATACGCCCTCCTCAGAGAGGCCTTTCTTGACTATGCTATCTAATATATCTCCGTGGTCTTTTTTTTTTTTTTTCAGAACACTTATTACTACTTATCACTGAACTGAATTTTATGGATTTGTTTACTTGTTTATTGTCTGTATCTGCCACTGGAGAGGCTCAAGAGATCAAGACTATATGGATCTCCTTCACAGTTTTGTTTCCCTCCACCTAGACCAATGCCTGGCACATAGTAGGCATTCATTAAATATTGAGTGAGAGAAAGAAGGAAGAGAGGGAGGGAAGGAGGAAGAAAGGGAGGCGGGGAGGGAGGGAGGCAAGGAGGGAAGGCAGGAGAAGCATGTTTGGGGAAGAGCATGTGTTCCGCATCAGAATGCTGCCTGAGAGACACCCAGAAGGCGACATCCCCTGGGCAGTTGGAAAGCAGACTGGGAGCTCAGGGATAAACTGTTAGGTTGCACATGAAGAAAGTGGGCCCACGTGCCACACTGGTACAAGCACATCCTTTCACATGTCTGATTGCCCCTTCAAGGCCAATGCTGGGAGTTGAGTGTGTGGAGTCCAGGGGAAAAGGGGTCCCTCTGGGCGTGTTATGCTCAAGTTGGGACAGAGTTTTTCTCCCCTCCCTTATTTGCTCTGTTCCCTGTCCTTGCTGCTGCCCTGGCTTTGGCCATTTTCCATCTTTCTTCAGTGTCAGCTACAAGACCCAGGAGTCTGAATACAGACTAAATCCTTTCAAGTCTTTTATCTCCAAGAATATCCCACCCACATCCAATCCACAGAAACTTGAGTCTAGCTTTGCCCAGAGGGTGGACTTCGTTTTACCGAATTAGGAAATACTTTTTTTTTTTTTTGCGGTATGCGGGCCTCTCACTGCTGTGGCCTCTCCCGTTGTGGAGCACAGGCTCCAGACGTGCAGGCTCAGCAGCCATGGCTCACGGGCCCAGCGGCATGTGGGATCTTCCAGGACCAGGGCACGAACCCGTGTCCCCTGCATCAGCAGGCAGACTCTCAACCACTGCGCCACCAGGGAAGCCCTGAATCGGGGAATACTTTGCCCTTGCACTTGGCTCCTGCTCCATTTCAGCTGGCCTCTACCTCCCGTGGGGCACTCAGCAGAACCTGCTGCCCTCCTTTTGCAGGGTCTCCAGCTGCTGAGCAGCTCCAGGACATCCTGGGGGAGGAAGATGAGGCTCCCAACCCCACCCTCTTCACAGAGATGGACACTCTGCAGCACGATGGAGACCAGATGGAGTGGAAGGAGTCGGCCAGGTGAGGCAGAACCCCGGAGACAGGTAGAGGGGGCTTTCCACTGCAGTCTGCCCGGGCCCAGGCTGAGCTGACCAGTGGCATCTCATACCTTGAGTTCTACTAGGGCGCTTCCTGGCCCCCAAAGACCCACCTACTTGCCTTCCTTGGTGTCCAGAACTGGGTTGGATGCTAAGGAGCAAACAGAAACTTATGGCTTTGTCTCATCCTCAGAGAAATGAAAATCCTGGTGGGAAAGTAGAACAGACACCCATGAAACGATGAGAGAATAACACAAGGGCATATATCCTTTTGTGTCAAGTGGTTCAAACTAAATGTTGTAGAAGGGAAAGCACCAAGCAGGCTGGGGCAGACAGGAGTGCTTCCTGGAGGAAGAAGAATGCGTGCCAGGAAAAACCCACTTGGGGAGCTCCAGTGAGCACTGAAGCAAAGGGATTTGGCAGAGTCTGGGGCAGGACAAGCAGAGCGTAGCCCTGGAGGCACACGTGGGGAGCAGAGAGAGCTGTGTATATAGGGGCAGAAGAAGGAAGAGAAGAGCCAAAAGGCTGGAGAAGAACCACACGGTGAAGTCAGGGGAGCCAAGGGAGAATCAGGGTAAGGAGTAGCGCTGGCCGTACCCAGTGCCTGGGGCAGAGCAGCCTCTAAATTGAGCTGGACTGATCAGCAGCATCAAATGCTGCCAAGAGCTCAAGGAGAAGGCAGAATACAGTAGGGGCAGCAGGAGGGGCTGGTGAGAGGAGGAGGGACCCTGGGACAGAAGTTGAGAGTCTGCAAGCAGAGCATACCAATGTTTCTCAACCTTTTTTTGTATTAACGTCCCCCCACCCAATTTTTAAATTTAAATTAACTTTGTTAAAATAAAATTAAATGTATTTCTAATGAGAGAAATGAAATGCTAAGAAATTAAATGTTGTCAGGTAGGTTTGAGCTTTGGAGTGCCACAAGCCATTGTAATATCTTAAATATTTTGCTCTCCTAAGAATCAGTTCTTGCCCCCTTGGGGCTGATATTGCCCCGTTGAGAATGCCTGAACAAACTGCCAGCTGTGCCCAAGGTGGCTTTGCCTGGGGGCCACCATGACACCCAGGACCTGGCACCTGCCCCAATCACAGCCTGGGCCCCTTTCTTACCTACCAACCTCACTCACCTCAGTAGCTGTTCTGTAGAACGAGGTGCGGATTTAACATTCCCAAGCTTCCCCCTCCAATCTCTCCTGGAAAAAGAAAAAAAGAAAAAGAAGAAAGGTCATTGAGTGACTAGCAAATTCCTGCAGGCCTCAGAAGGAATGAATTCCTAGCCTCATGGCTAGGCCCAATCCCTGTCTGGAAGCTGTGGAGCCTCTTCTTATCAGCCCATTCAATGAGCCCTTACTACATGCTAAACAATTCGCAGGCTCATCTCATTCAACCTGCACAATGACCCTGAGGAGGCAGGAAATATTATTATCCTTGTTTTATAGATGAGGATAGTAAGGTTTAGAGGGTCAAATAGATGCAAGGGTCAGAGCCTGCAGGTAGCTGAGTCTGGATGCTAGACCAGGGCTATCTGACTCTCCAACTTGAGTGCTTATGAACTTTGTCATGTTTTCTCCATTTTCTCAGCCACTTCTCTCCCCTTCCTTCAACTTCCAGGGACTCTGTTTTGATTTCCATGGGAGGACATAATTCTGGAGGGAATTCAACTGGTGTGAGAGATAAACGGCGGCAGCCACAGAGCCCAGGACATCCATCCAGGGCTGATAAGAGAGGGGAGGACATTTCAAATGACCAGGGCCCAGTCTGTGCTACTGTGGCTTAATGCCTCTGAGGGGCTTGTACCTCCCTGGGCAAATGACTTTCTTGTCCAAGGTGGGCATATAGAGAGAAGGAAAGTTGAGAAAGGCCTTCTCCAAGGCCCAGTAGGGAGAGGGTGACTTCTCCCTACCCTGGGTAAGGTGTGCCTTCAGAATCCCTGGCAATAATTGCCAGGACCAGACTTTTCATTAGGGCCTATCATACACACCCACAGAGCCCTTGCTGAGAAGGCCCCAGGGCTCTCAGAGACATGATTGTTGCCATAGACGAAATACCCAGTTTCTCTCTGAGTGTTGATCCATAGAGCCTTGCTCACTATAGACCCTGCAATGAAAGTGATAAATTGTAGATAATGATGTTTCTGGAAGAAGGCTCCTTTAAAATGTAAAGGGGCCTGGGGTTACCATCTGCAAGCCAGGTTGTTTCCCCACAAGGCAGGCTTTCCAAGGACAGCATTTGAGGAGCCCTGGGAAGAGCCCCAGTGTAACCCAAGTGGACCTCAAACCCATAGCGAGAGGAAAGTGGAGGCTGGAAGAAGTTAAACAGCTGAACCCAATTCCAGGTTGATAGAGAAAGGAGCATCTTGAGGGCCAGCTTTGGGGCAGGAAGCAGTGGGGGGAGAGCCACTCAGGCCTCCTTTCTCCACCCCAGCCTCCTTTAATCTTCTCTCCAGCTCCCCCCAGCTGGTTTGCAGCTCACTGTTGGAGGTCTGAGCAGTAGTCACAGGGTTTGGTTATCGGTGAGCAAGTCCACCTTGGCCTGGACAGCTGTGCTAGGGGCTCCTCCTGGCAAACTGCATCAGTAGAGGTGCTCCGGGCCAGGCCTGTTAGGGGCCTGTCACCCCACCAAAAAATGGGAAGAATTTCCCTCAGCTGACAGGCTGTGCCATCTACTCAGGGAAGCCAGAGGTCTCGAAAGTTTCCAGAATACAAGAATCAGCAAATCCTAGTGAGTTCTGGGCCTTCTTGGAATAACAGGAGAAAATGATAGGAGGCGGGAACAACCCCTCATGTGGACACTCAGGCCCTGAGAGGGTTGCAGGTCTGTACCCACATCAAAGAGACTGGGGGAGGGGACCTTTTAATAAAAGTATTTAATTTGTTGCGGGAGTGTTTGCTTTATTGAGTTAGGAGATTAACAGAGTGAAAATCTCAAATCCGCAAGGAATTTTCCCCGGCAGTGCTTTTCTGGGGGTTATTAGTTTGGGGGATGTTTTGGGCCCTTGGGGAAAGAATCACCACTGGACAGATTTAACTGGTTTTTTGAGCTCCACTGAGCCTGGCCCTTTGTGCATGATGGGGATTGTGTGTGTGGGCATCATTTCTAATGTGATCAATGCTGGTAGGTCAGGCTGTTAATAAGATAGATTTTTATTAAATTTGTCTCTTTTGCGTTCCCGGGAGGGGAGTGCAGATAGCTTTTTGCTGATACTGACCTTGCCTGAAGGGAGGCTTGGGTTGGGTGGGGCGGGGTGGACCCCCTCACTGTGAGCAAACAATTTACCCATAATTCCATTGTCTCTCAAGCTTGAACCTGCCTGGCTGCAGGGGATGAAGGGAAGGAGAATGATCTGGGCTGGAAGCCAGCCAAGTGTGGAGGGGCTTTTGGGGTTACTCAAAAATAGAGCTTTGAGCCTTCCATGAATTCTGAAAGCAAACTCCAAATCCAAGCTGCCTCTGATCTCAACTCAGAGCAGAGCAAAAGCGTGAACTTGCCGGAATGTTCTTATAAGACACATATGCTCTGAAAAGATTCCTGCCGTGACCAGGAAAGGGCAGAAAGAGGGGCAGGAGAAGTAGGTCATCTTAGTTGGGTCAGACCAGATCAGTACATTTTCAAAAGACCCTCCACACATAGGCAGGGATGCTTTCTCACTCTGTACATAATGGAAGAAGAAGCCTGAGCTTTGTCTCAACCCTGAAACTGTTCCTGCTTACTACCTTGAAGCATGTTCTCCTACCATCATTTTACCTCTTAGTCTGGAGTAGAAGATGCCCCAGCCCTCTGGTCTCACCACTCACCTGGGATCACCCTTATGGCACCCCAGCTGCCCTCTCTATGTGGAAAGCAGAGCGGGGAGCTGAGAGTTCTTAGTATAGACATCAACAAACCTCACTCATTCATTCAACTACTATTTACCAAATGTTTACTGTCTGTAAGCCCTGAGCCAGGTGCTTAGAGATACAAAAATCATGGCAGATGCCATCCCTGCTCACTCAGGCTCTCAGTCTAATGGGGCACAGAGGTAAATAACTAGATACTTGATGATGAGGTTCTAAGAAAGCACAGTGTAGGGGCACTTAACCCAGACAGGAGGGATCAAGGCAGATGTGCAGGAAGAAGAGTTGTTCACATAGACACCTGAAGGATGGGTCAAAGTTAGCCAAGAGAGGGTACGGAAGGGGGAAGAGGCCCCTGGAACAGGGGAAACAGACACAGAGGAAGCGGCAGAAGTTCCCTGTAGCTGGACTAGAGAGGGAGTGGCCAATGATGCAGGTCCTATGCAGACCATGTTGTGGAGTTTGAACTTGATGCTGAGAGCTTTGGAGGACCACTGAGGGGTTTGGGTCAGGAGAGGGACAGGATTGTCTGTTTGAGAGAGATCACTCAGGCTTCAATGTGAAGAATGTATAAAAGAAGGTAAGACTGGGCCAGTTAGGAGGCTGGTCCAGATGAGAGGTGATGAGATTCTGAACCAAGATGTTGACAGTGGGAATATAGAGAAGGTGTGATTTGAGACATATTTTTTTAGTGTATAATTATATATATATAAAATGTATAGTGTATCAGTATTTCCTTTTAAATATACTTTATTATTTAGAGCAGTTTTAGATTCACAGCAAAACTGAGCAAAATGTACAGAGGGGCTTCCCAGGTGGCGCAGTGGTTGAGAGTCCGCCTCCCGATGCAGGGGACGCGGGTTCGTGCCCCGGTCCGGGAAGATCC